GGGTTCGAGCCCCGCGTCGGGCTCTGTGCTGACTGCCAGCTCAGAGCCTGGAGCCTGTTTCAGTCTGTGACTCCCTCTCTCTCTGACCCTCCCCTCCTCATGCTGTCTCTCTCTCTCTCCTAGAAATAAATAAAAACATTAAAATAAAAATAAATAAATAAATAAATAAATTAACATAAAAAAATTTTAAAAAAAGAATGTCCATTATCAATACCACTATGAACACCATTTTAAAATACTAACCGAACCAAACAAGAAAATAAAAAGGTTAAAAGCTGGAATGGACCAGGTAAGATTACCATTATTTATAAATGATATGAGAATATGTCTACAAAGCCTAAGAGAATCAACTGAAAAATGATTATAAACAATGAATCAGTAAGGACACTGAGTACAAAAGTAGTATGTAGAAATAATACATTGCCTGTATTCAAAGAGTCACCGTTTAGAACGGGAAGATCGCGGGGCACCTGAGTGGCTCAGTCAGTTAAGCGTTTGACTTTAGTTCAGGTCATGATCTCAGTTTGTGAGTTAGACCTCTCCCTCGGGCTCTGCGCTGACAGCTCAGAGCCTAGAGCCTGTTTTGCGTTCTGTGTCTCCCTCTCTCTCTCTGCCCCTCCCCTGCTTGCACGCGCGCACACTCTCTTGCTCTCTCTCAAAAATAAAAAAATAGAAACATTAAAAAAATTTTTTAAAAGAAATGGAAACATTCCAAGTATAACTAAACCAAAAAGGTCAATGACACAAATACAAGACTTTATGACTATACTTCAAAGATATAAACCTGAGTATGTTTAAAATGGGTCAAAGATTTGCAACCACATAGATGGAGCTAGAGTATAATGCTAATAAGCAAAATAAGTCAGTTAGAGAAAGACAAATATTTTATAATCTCACTCATATGTAGAATTTAAGAAACAAATCAAACAAGCAAAGGGAACAAAGAGAGACCAACCAAGAAACAGACTCTTAACTATCGAGAACAAACTGACAGTTACAGAAGGGGAGGGGGGGAAAGAGGGGGTGGGGATTGAAGAGTACACTTCTCATAATGAAAAAAAAAATTAGGGGCGCCTGGGTGGCTCAGTTGGGTAAGCGTCCAACTTCAGCTCAGGTCATGACCTCACGGTTCGTGGGTTCGAGCCCCGTGTTGGGCTCTGTGCTGACAGCTCAGAGGCTGGAGCCTGCTTCTAATTCTGTGTCTTCCTCTCTCTGACCCTTCCCTGCTCACACTGTCTCTCTCTCTCTCTCTCAAAAATAAATAAAACATTAAAAAAAAATTAAAGGGGCGACCTGGGTGGCTCAGTCAGTTAAGCATCCAACTTCAGCTCAGGTCATGACCTCACGGTTCGTGGGTTCGAGCCCCGTGTTGGGCTCTGTGCTGACAGCTCAGAGGCTGGAGCCTGCTTCTAATTCTGTGTCTTCCTCTCTCTGACCCTTCCCTGCTCACACTGTCTCTCTCTCTCTCTCTCAAAAATAAATAAAACATTAAAAAAAAATTAAAGGGGCGACCTGGGTGGCTCAGTCAGTTAAGCATCCAACTTCAGCTCAGGTCATGATCTCGCGGTCTATGGGTTCGAGCCCCATGTCAGGCTCGGTGCTGAAGCCTGGAGCCTGCTTCAGATTCTGCCCCTCCCCTGCTCACACCCTCTCTTTCTCAAAAAGAAACATTAAAGAGAATTTTTTTAGTTAAAAAAAAATCAGGAAAATGTGAAAAGAAATGCAGTGTCCAACAGTAAGAAGAATAAAGACAAAATGGGTAAAAGATTTAAATGGAAGAACTGAAACCATAAAAGTAGAAGAAAACATGAGATGATTTCTTGATAATCTTGAAATGGGGAAAACTATGACCCAAATCCGGAAGCCACAGAAGATGATTAAAGTTGACTATATAAAAATAAAATATTTCTCCTGGGAAAAGACAAAACCATCATGAGCCAAGTCAGGACAAACTAACAGGGGAAAAGTATGGGAAGAGAAAGAGGAACAGAATTCACAGAAAAGAAATGCACACGATTTATATTTGAAGAGATGCTCTATCTCATAATGAAGGATGCAAATTAAAACCACACTGGACGGAGGGCACCTGGCTGGCTCAGTCGGAAGAACGTGTGACTCTTCATCTCGGGGTCGTGAGTTCAAGCCCCATGTTGGGTTGCAGAGATGACTTAAGTAAATAAATAAATTGGAAAAAAGAAAACTATACTGGATAGGCCATTAAAAAAAACATTTAAAATTTATTTTTGTAGGGGAGCCTGGGTGGCTCAGTCAGTTAAGCATCTGACTTCGGCTCAGGTCATGATCTCACAGTTCGTGGGTTCGAGCCCCATGTCGGGCTCCGTGATGACAGCTCAGTGCCTGGAGCCTGCTTCGGAATCTGTGTCTCCCTCTCTCCCCCCACCCCAACTCCATGTCTCTCCCTCTCTCAAAAATAAATATTTTTTAAAAATTAAAAAAAAACCTTAAAAAAATATTTTTTGTATATTTTTAAGTCATTTTTATTTTACCACAAAGTACATTCATGAGGTTGTTGCGGTCATCACCACTATTTCCAGACCCTTCCCATCATCCCAAACAGAAACTCTGGACTCGCTGAACAACAACAACTTCCCACCCCGCCCCACAACCACCAGTCTACTTTCTGTCTATTCTAGGTGCCTCGTATAAGTGGAGTCATATGTGTCCCTTTGCGTTTGGCCTCTTTCACTTAGCGTAATGCTTTCGAGGTTCATCTACGTTGTAGAATGCATTGGAATTTCGTTCCTTTTTATGGCTGAACACGTATGTATGTCCGTACAGGCACGTACGGCACATACCGCATTTTGTTCAGCCATTCATCTGTTGATGGCTGCCTGGGCTGTGTACGCCTGCCGGGTGTTTTGGATGTTGTGAAGAATGCTGCTAAGAAAACTGGTGTGCAAATATATGTTCGACTCCCTGCTTTCAATTCCTTTGGAAAAACCCCCAGGAGCGGGACTGCTGGACCATACGGTCATTACAGGCTTACTTGCCCGAGGAAGCTCCGCACTGCGTTCCACGGCAGCAGCACCGTTTCGCTCCCATCAGCGCCGCGCCCAGGTCCCAGTTTCTCTACCTCCTCACCAGCACTTGTTGCTCTGCATCTAT